GAACACTGCTTGTGACTGGCTGCCAACTGGATTTAACTCCAAAACTCAAAAAAAACTTGATCTAAACTTCAGGCTGTTTGAGTACTGACAGTGAATATTGGAGGCAAAGCTCTACTGAAAGTCTTGGTAGTGGCAAGACTACAACTAGTCTTCAGTCCTTATGGAAGCTATTGCCTATGTGGTAAGATACTTTCTAGTTCATACTTCATCTTGGAGCTGCACAGGTATACTACCTCTGTTGCCACTTTTGACTAATAGAAAGTAACAGCTATGGTGAGGTGCCAGGCAGCATATCCACAGCCCTGTGGGAGTGTGTTTTGCCCTCAGGAGCACAGCACTAAATCAACTCTGGCTTGTGAGTTCAAGGAGTTACTTTTCAGAAGTTTTCAAGTTAGCCTTTGGAACAGGCTTACTGGGAGTAGGTGGTGTTAAATGATGTGTAAAGCAACTTCTCTATTGTAACACCACTGAACTTCTAAATGGCACAGTTCCTGGTTATAGACCAGAACAGCTTCCTTCTGTGGTAAAGCTAGGCAGGCAGAGTGCTTCTCTAGCTGCCAGGTAGATGTTTTGATAGCTCTATGTTTGTATGCTTTAAAGGTAGTGTTGCAGCTTAACTGTTCTGTATGTTAGAGGTGATGGTGTGATCTGAAGCAAATATATGGAGTCTTGGTGTGTAACAATGGTACAGCTCTTGTTCCATTCTTGCTGTCTTCTACATAGATCTCTTCAAACCCTATTCACTAAGAAGATTTTGGAAAACATGTCCTTTCAACTCATCAGGAGTATTTAAATGTAGTATATGAAGCATATGTGCTCCAAATGTTCACAGCTGCCAAGAAGTACAAATCAGGATGTGCGGGGGGATTGACCTAAGGGCCATGGCCCTTAACTGAAGAGCTGTGTCATTGGATGGCTGTGTCATGGTGGGAAGTGGATATCATCTTTGCCATCTGGACTGTAATATTGGGGTATTGTCAAAGGTGTGAGGAGAACTTCTCAGGCTAGTGAAAAGCAGTAAGACAAGCTGCCTTGTAAGGTATTGGAGATGCAGCTGCTGGGGATGCCAGTGTATGCCTGTTGGTCAGGATGCTGATGAAGACTTCATTGGGAGCAGATGTGCCAAGCTCTGAAGCTGTATGTGTAGCACCTGTGACTGTCCATCAGTGGGAGTGTAATAGATCTTCAGTGCCATCTAAAAATGTAATGTTAAACTAGCTGCCACAGAGTACATGTAGATTTGCTTTGTTAATGTGTCTAGACCAAGTTCAAAGCATAAGCTCTTGCCTGTTCCCTAGGAATGGGATTTAACTATTGGGAATCAACAAACTTGCGCTGATCTGCCCCTCCCCCCAAAAGCTTAAGCAGGCTGGCTTTCTGTTAGTGGGATTACAAAATCAGTTTCTGTAATCCATCACTGCATTAATTGCAACACCTTTAAGTAACTTCAGACTTGGAGGAAGTAGTGACTGATCTAATTTTAAATAGCGAACTTCCTTCATGAGAACAGCCCTTTACATCTGTCTCATTTAGTGACAGTCAAGACTTTAACAAAAAGCAGATCCAGGTTAGAGGAGGTTCATGAGCTTTGGTATACAGAAACAATTTGGAGTTGATAATGAGGCATTCCTTTAAAGTTTTTATAACTAAAACTGAGCTTCCTTCTGATGGTGAGCCTTGTGTTAGTGCAGCAGTGCTACCTTTATTAATGTTCTGAAGTGTTTTAGTGCAAAGCCAGGAGCATTACTCCTCAGTTCTTGACTGCTCAAAGATGGGCTTTTTGTAAATGCTGAGTGAGAAGCAGGAAAGTGCATATCCTAAATGTTTTGCTTACCTCCCGGCAACTCTTTTGGGCAAGGTGCACCATCTCACACTTGGATGCTGGTGTAAGAGGCTGCTACAGGTCTTTGTGGAACAAGCAGTTCTCCCCTGTAGAAACCTTAGTTTTTAAGTGGGTGGAGCAAACTCAAAAAGTAGGTCTCTGAACAGTACAAAGGTTTGAAATCCCCATGGCTTTAGTACTCCCCAATAGCCTCTTAGAGCAGGCAAGAGCATTTTCATGCTAAATAGGACTGTTACCTTTCAATAGCAGCCTGATGGTGTCTGAAAAGGAGACTACCTATCCTTCCACATACCTTGCAGTGCTGCTTCGAGGACTTAGTCCTGGATGGCTGTGGACCTGCATATCATCTCTTGGGTGAAGGTGAGTGCAGTCCAGAGTTAAGGAATTCCTAGAGTACTCCAGAGCAAGGTTGGAAGGAAAAGGGTCTTTCCAAGTACGTCAGAATCAAAGAATGAGGTATTTGTGGAAGCTTTTATGTGACACTGTTGTGGTTTAACCCCAGCTGGCAAGTAGGCCCCACACAGCTGCTTGCTCACTTCCCCCTGTGGGATGGAGGAGAGAATTGGAAGGGTAAAAGTGAGAAAACTCATGAGTTGAGATAAACACAGTTTAATAGGCAAAGCAAAAGCTGCACACACAAGTGAAGCAAAACAAGGAATTCATTCACTGCTTTCCATCAGCATGCAGATGTTCAGCCATCTCCAGGAAAGCAGGGCTCCACCATGTGTAATGGTTACTTGGGAAGATAAATGCCATCACTCCAAACATATCCCCCCCCTTCCTCCTTCCCCCAGCTTTATATGCTGAGCATGATGTCATATGGTATAGAATATCCCTTTGGTCAGTTGGGGTCAGCTGTCCCAGCTGTGTCCCCTCCCAACCTCTTGTGCACCCCCAGCCTACTCACTGGTGTGATGATGTGAGAAGCAGAAAAGGCCTTGACTTTGTGTAAGCACTGCTCAGCAATAACAAACATCCCTGAGTTATCAACACTGTTTCCAGCACAAATCCAAAACATAGCATCCTGTGAGCTACTATGAAGAAAATTAGCTCTATCCCAGCCAAAACCAGCACACACTAATACAAAGTTTTCAAGATAGAAGTTACTTTTTGGGGTAGTGCTTTTGGGCTCTTGATGCTAGCATCTCGGTTGGAGGTGAGATGCCCGTGTTCTGCTTTGGATTCCTGTGTTGATCTCTGCATGCTCAAGTGTTTACACAGGTGATCAGTGAACCTTAGGGGTAAGGTGGTTGTGGTCCTCTGTAACCTACAAGCCATACTCTGTCATTGTAATCCACTCAGTGGTTGGATTAACAGGTGTTTGGACCTGAATCCTTCACAGGTGGGGTTATTGACACATGAAGAGGGTGTGCTTTCTCCAAGGAATGAAGTGCAGCAATAATAGGTGAATTTGTTGCTATCTCATTATGTGTCTGATGAAGCTGAATTGGCATGTTTGACTCCAGGACAAAGCATAGGCCAGGTGGGGCCTCTTCTTCCACAAAACCTATGAAGGGTGCCAGGAGGTGACTTGTTAAATGTTGGGTGCATCTGAGAACTCAGCCCAAGTGGCTCAAAGTTCAGTGTCTGTTAAAATCTGGCTTTTAGACAGGCTACATCCTGCTGTAGTAGCAAGACATGCTTTGCTGTGTTTCCTCTGCAGTTCAGCTGAGTAGAGCCCTGTGAGGGCACAAACTGAAGTAATGAGTTCAAATTTGGACCTTAGGTTTTGGCTTCTAAACAGGGAACAAATGTTTGCTGGGGAGTATACCCTGCTGTGAAGCTAGCTTAGAGAGGGTATTTTGTTATCAGCACTGTTTGAACAGCACCTTTTTACTTAATCTAGCTTTGGTCTAGGACTCTGGATAAGTCACTTCCTCATCCCTTAGGGGAATATTCCTGGTTGACAAACCAAGCAGTCAAGTGACCATGTTAGTTTTGCACAATTCTTCCTTGTGCTGACTCAAGTGTTCTAATACCACAGCCTAGTGAAGGAGGTAGTATTTGGGGATGTGTCTAATGCTTTTTTTTTTTCTCTTCCAGCCTTGGGGGCTGCATATGGAACAGCAAAGAGTGGCACGGGTATTGCAGCCATGTCTGTCATGAGGCCTGAGCTCATCATGAAGTCAATCATCCCTGTTGTCATGGCGGGTATTATAGCTATCTATGGCCTCGTAGTGGCAGTCCTCATTGCTAATGCCCTCTCACCTTCTATCACGCTATTCAAGTAAGTTGCTGCATCTGTCAGTTTTAAGTTTGTCCTGTCACTATTTTGATGCTGCCGAATGGGTGGGTTTTGCTCAGGACCCCTGGAAGGACTATCAGTGCTAAATGCACATAACCTGGGCTTGGGAGTATGGACTGGATTTCTGTTGTCCTGCCTAATGCCTTAGCCTCAGTGGTAGTGCTGCCTGATTAGTTTGTTGTATTGGCTAACAGATCAGACATCCAACTGCTAAAGATAATGCAGTGGTTTATGGCTTGAAAGAAACTGTACAGGCAGTACTAGGATAGGAGGCTAAGCTTGTTTCACAGTGCTAAATTCTAGACCTGGAATATCCAGGTCTTTCAAAGACTGTCTAATCAGACTGTCTAAATAGTTCTCCTGTTGCCTGGGAGATGCAAGTGAATAATTAATATTGCTTGCTGCTTTGTGCTGGTAAATCAATCCTCAAGCTCTACATTGGGCTTCTACACCAGCTACAGTCTGAAACTTAATCTGCTCTTAGCTTTTGAGAACAGCTGGAACTGGCTTGATTGATACTTCTCAGAAGCATTGTTTTAACAATTGTTTTAACAATGCTTCTGAGATCTAACAGTAGATATCTGTGTCACTGTACAAGCTATAGCTGATGAGCAGTGTGGTTGGTCTAATAAGTCATGATCTAAGAAATAGCAGGTACAAATGCTCCTTTGCAGTTAGCAGGTAGCCAGATACTGATAGGGACTGGTCTTCAGGTACCCCTACCTGGAAAATCAGACTGTTCCTGTCCAACTCTTATGGTGCAAAAACATATAATCACCTAGATGTGCTATGGCTGTATAACAAGGTTGCTAGAGGTGGGAGACAAAAGCAGCTATTAACAGGCTACACAGCACTGTGGGACAGGCATTACTGCAAGTGGTAGCCCACATGGCTGGAGCAAGTACAACTCTGGCAGCATGCTAAGCCTGCAGCTGATTGAAGTAGCTACAGACAAGCTGGGTGGCCATGTGAACTTACAGGCCTGGTAGCTTAGCTTAGTGTATGAGCTGTACCTGAATATCAGCTAAAGATCTTGCACAGCTGCCCATTTTTTAAGTATCAGAGCTAGGAGTCTCAGGAAGCATCTGCTTTGTGAGACATACTGTGCTTGCTTAAAGAGTGTAGAAGCTCTTTCTGCAGGAAGGAGGTTCTGTTTAAATGTTTAGATGTTAATTCTTATTTCCTTTGGGGAGAGCAAAAGAAGGCTAGCCTGAAGTTGAATGGTTGGGTGTCCTGGTGCTTGCCACTGAAACTCTTTCTCTCTGTCCTACAGGAGCTTTCTTCAGCTGGGTGCTGGCTTGAGTGTGGGCCTCAGTGGTCTGGCTGCTGGCTTTGCCATTGGCATTGTGGGTGATGCAGGTGTACGGGGAACAGCACAGCAGCCCAGGCTATTTGTGGGCATGATCCTGATTTTGATCTTCGCTGAAGTCTTGGGTCTCTATGGCCTCATTGTTGCCCTTATCCTCTCCACAAAGTAAACATCACGGTATGATGTAAAGAGATGTAACAAATCCACATTTAAAAAAAAAAAGCTCCAGAATGAAAATGGTCTCTCCAATGTGTACAGTTGTCCCAATTTGGTAGTTGATCTCTTGTAAATGCGCAATGTATGTTAGTGACTTGTCTGTCCTGTGTGTACTTCAATATTAAATTGGATGGGCTGTTCCAAGCCTGCTGCATGGCTTGGGGTGGCCTGTGTGCAATTTTCCACCCATTGCTGTTAGTAATTTATGTATAAATATGAACTAGAAATGTAATTTTTTCTCTTCACTGGATGTTTATTTATAAAAGACTTGACATGTTCATACATCTATGGAGCAAGGATTTTCAATTTCCCATGCTATATATACTAATCTTATATATAGGTAGTTTACACTGTGGGGTCAATTGTAAGTGCAGAGAATTCCTTGGATGTAACTTTGATTCTAAAGATTGCTGTAGTGTCCTGGTATTGGAGTATGAGAATTTCATGTTTTATTACAGCAATTGTCCGAAACACTCCTGTGTTTCAGTAGTAACCATGTATGCTCTGGCATAAGAGTCATGCACCCAGTGTTGGGTTACAAACTTATACCATGTTTCCAAATAAAACTTCCTCACTACATTGCTGTAATGAGTCCTCTGCCTCTGATTTCATGCTTTTGCTGCTCCTTTAGGAAGAGGAGGGGTTCCTTTGGGGGGGGGGGCAGTTCTTGAAGTGACTGAGCACCATGCAAAAGTGATGCTGCATCACTGCTAAAGCACTCCCTCTTTCTCCTGCGCAAGTAGCAATGCTGTTTCCAGCTGCTACCCATGGACAGTACTGGTGGTGAGCCGGAATGCAAAGCTGTTGCAGTGCTATGCTCACCCTGATCAAGCAGCACATCTTTGCTCTGGCACATGGTAATGCTGTGTATAGGCTGTGAGGCATGGCCTGAGCAGACAAGGTCAGGGAGCAAGGGTGTAGGCTTTAGTATGTGACAAGGAATGGGAGCGGCTGAAGAGCCTTTAGGCAGCTTGTCCTTGTGATGGCTCTGCAGAAACTTAGTGCAGCTTTCCAACCAGCTGTTGGCAGCAATTACCTCTAAAGTACATGAACAATAGTCTCATCAACAAAATGGGTTCATTCAAGAACTCATATTTTTAACTTGTAAATTGGGAACATTTGAGCTGAGAAGTTCTGCTTTTGCAGCTAGTGAATGCTGTAACAACCTTCTCTTGTCCTGAGGATTTATGAGTGTTGCAAAGCAACACTGAAGCTCATAAGGGAAGTAGATGCTGGATGCTTACAAATATAGAGCTTGTTCCAAATTGCCTTTGGGAAGTACATCACCTTAATCTGAGTTGTGTAGGTTGGAGAACAGGTCAAGCTTTACCTTGTTCAAACCAAAAATGTTAATATTATATAGATATGTAGTACTAGTAATGCCTTTGTGATCAAACTAAGCTGAGTGATCTGTGGGAATCTCTTCTGCCAGCCTGGTTAGGAATGGAGATGTGGTGGTGGTGTACATGTATTTCACCCTTGTGTATGCCTGTGCAGCAAACAAGTCTGGTGTAAGTACCATGAAGAGCTATGGCCAGAGCCTGAGGAATTCACTGAAGCTGTGTGGAGCTTCTAACCTGGCATGAGCATTCACCAGCCCAGGCCTGGTGGTACCTTGTACACCTGGGTAGTTGGTCTCCAAACTGGGGACCGTTTAGGAGACTTCAGCTATAAACAAATCATTCTGCTAGGTATGGATTTTCAGGCTTTTGTGAAGGTGTAGTTTTAACAATTGTTGATCATCAATAATTATTAATAAATTAATTGGTTTATTCAGTTTGCTAAAAAGCTGATCTGTCTGCATTAATTTAGTAAGCTGTTGGCTGCTTGGCTTTGGGGTGGGCTGTACTACTGTTTTCATGCTTCAGAAGGGCTTTTCTTCATGGCAGTCTGAGCAGTGGCGGTGCTTGGGCGGTATAGAGATGTAAGCTGATTTAAGGAAAATCCTGGATGTCTGCTGAAGCATTGCCTGGGGTAAGGGAAAATTTCCTGATCCGAATTGTGTTGAACATTCTTTTCTTCAGCAGAAGTAGTAGACTCTAAACTTCTGAATTAGACTTTAACCAGGGGTCATAAATGTTTATGGAAACCATAGCATAATTCTCTCTCAGCACTGATTGCAATGAGTGCCTTCCTGGTACTTCTGTGCAGAGTCTGATAGAGCTTGCAGCTGGGAGGGGGTGAATCATGAATTCAGGCTCTCTGAAAAGCATGCCATGTACATCTTGCAGTTCTGGTGAGAGGAATTGTATTTTGCTTGTTGAGCAGGACAGGACAGAGGTCCTGGCTGGGGCTGCCAAAAACATTTAAGATCTGGTTTTACCTTCTTTAAGGCAGACCTGCTGCCAGCCTTGTTTTTTGCCAATTTACAAGAATATGAGCAAATTGCATTTAAGAGAGCAACTCAATGCTGGTAGTAGCTCTCATCTCTAAGAGAAATAAGCAATTTAAAGGCACTGGTCTGTAGGAACTTATCAAGATCCCATTGTAGCTTGGTGACACATTGCAGAAGGCAGTTACTAGGCTCAGGATGGTAATGGATACTTAGGTAACCAAATGGAGGCAAAATGCCATTGATGGCATTCTGATTTATGCCTTGGAATGTTAAGCCTTTCTTATTAATACATAAACCCCTGCAAGTCAGGAGAACAGAGCATAAAGCAAAAGCTGGGTGGAGGATTGCTTTGTGCTGAGTACCTGTAAATACGCCAGGAATAAAATTACCAATCTGAGCATGTTGCCTTGGCCAAGCATTTTCTGACAGCGATGCTCTAGATCCTCATTGATGAATCCCAGGTGAAAACTCACATTTCAAGTCCTTCACTGATGCTATTGCATCAGCAAATTTCTGAAGTGATTCACGGCATTAAGAAAATTACGGACCTTTTAGTCCCTTTCCTTTGTTTACTGACAACAGCATGCTAGATCAGAGTGCAGTCCCATCTGGCAGGGATTGACTTTGGTTTGGAAGAGGGGAACAGGCATCCTCAGAGTGTAAAATGACAGACTCATAGAGTGCCTGATTAAAAGAGGTGGTGTCTGCTGGCACATAAATAGTCCTCTGTAAATGGAAGATTGCGTGCCTGTGAGTGTGTACTGCAGAGTGAGTCAGCCCTGTAGAGAGAGAAGAGAGCAGGGTGGCTCTGCAGCAGCAGCAGCAGAGGGTAAATGCCCATTAGCAGTTGGTTCAGGCTAAGGTAAGGTTAAGGGATGCCTACTGCCAGATGCTGCCTGCATAGACAATGCCTTCATAGCGCTTGCTGACCTCTCTCTTTTTTGACACTTTTATACCAGCTCTCTTTTAAAAGGTGCAGAATTTTTTTTTTTTTTTTATTTTTTTTTTTTTTTACTGCTCTGTCAGAGAAGCATTTTTAAGTAGTAGGATTTTATCTGTGGTTGCTCAGGGATTGTCTTTCCTTGGGAGACCTGGTTTACAGAGAAACATAGTAACCTGTAAAAGCTTTGGGGAAATAAAAACCTCATTAAGAGAAACTGATCCCAGAAACTAAGCTGCTGTTTTCAACTACAGGCTAACAGCAGATCTAATGAAAACAATTCTCGGTAAACCTTGTTTTCTTTGCAGTCTAACCATGGGGATACTGATTTTATGGCTTTTTGCTGTTCCTATTCAGCCTTACTGTACAAACTGTCACTGTTCCTCAGGTGAGAGAATTACCTCTGTCTCTGATACACAGGACTTGCCACCTCTGTTTAGTGTATCTCTTTCTGCTCCACAGGTATTAACCATCTTTTTCTCATGGCATAATTAAAGTAAACCCAGAGTAGTAAGTCTTCCTAGTGCAACTTATCCTGGAGTGGGACTTTTCTGTTTCAGGGTCAAAGGATTGTGTCCCGACAAGCTTCTCCATTTTTGTTCCAATTACTTGCTAATGAATGCTGTTCCTTTTCTCTGCAAGCCACGCTTCATTTAGCTCCTGAGACAGTCACAGTTTTGCAACTTATATCACTGAGTTTCTGTCAAGCTAGTTCCTGTATCATGGTGCCAAAGCACACAGAAAATAATCCTCCCCCAGCCTCGCAGTGTATAAGGCCCGAAGCTCTCCTAGGGGCCAAACTGCAGGGTCCTGAGTGCCTCCCACAAGGCATCTACAGATCATTGAGAGTTCTCACTGCCCTGTGAGAATAGGAGCTGGGTAAGCAGGAGGGCAGGATGAGGTTCCTGGAGAATCAGTGCCTTGTGTATGCCATCTTCCTTTTTCCTGAGGGGACAAGATGCACTCATGACAGGCTCAAGTCTTGGCTTTTCTGGATTTACCAAGGCTGTTTCAGTCCTGGACCTCTTTTTGGCACTTAGAACTGTCCCGTCCTTGCTATTATCTCTGTGCTTTCCTCCTTTGCCTTTGGGAGAGGGTAAAGGGGTGACCTCAAGTGGCAGAGAGTGGTAACAACCACCTACACCTAACTGGTTTTGTCTACCTAAGGTAGGCTGAGGACAAATCTCAGGAAATCACATATATTCCCAAGATTGGCAGTGTGTTCTCAACTCAGATGTAAACAGCCTCTCTGGCTCTTCTGTGCATTAGGACAATTTCTTAGACTTCCTTGTGAATGCACATGAAAAATTAGAAGCCAGGGCTGCATCTCCACAAGCACTTCATTTGGCAGCAGTGTTAGCCTAAGCCCTCCCTCTGGACACCTAGACCATCCTTCACATCTGTAACATGCACTCCCATTTCTCCCAAGTGTGCTGATACAACTTCTCATGCTGCCAGGCAGTGAATCTAATTTGGAAATTGAGCCAGGTTAAAAATAACGACCTGAAGAAAAAAAAAAAGTTTGCTAAAGAAAATGCAAGTTGAACTACAGCTTGTGATTCCCTCAGTCTATTACTGGGGCAGTAGAGAGAAAGAACATACAATTACTAGAGGAGTGTGCAATTATTGGTGATGCAAGACAGGGTTAATTTAATACTGAGAAATAAAAGGAGAACATTCAAAAGGATAAGACAAGCAGGACAGATACATGACGTAAAGTTGGGCTGGGTGACGTACAGCATCAATGAGGCAAATTTCCATACCTTTCATCTCAGCACAGACTGTTCTGTTCTTCCCAGCAGTGCAGAGGGAGGTCCGGGCCATTTTCCAGCGTTCTGATTCAGTGGTTTGCTTTGGGGCTTGCAGCCTAGAAAAATGTTGGATCTCTTTGTTATCAAAGGGTCGGTCAAGCTGTGTCAATGGGGTAGACCCCATGGCAAGATCTTTTATAGTGGATGTTACTATCTGTAAGCAGTCAGTATTTGCATTTACCTAGATGTCTCTTCCACTGCCACAAAAAGTTACTGTCACAAGTCTGTTAGCATGTACGTTCATATGAAAGTGCCCTTTGGCCACAGGCAGTTTGGGTGTTGTGTATGCCTTTTGACATCTGAATTCAGTTTAGCAGCTTGGAAGAGCACTTCTATCCTCACAGAGTTGTTTTCTCAAATAAGCAGGCCCGAGATCCGCTTTTAGGATTCATTTTCTAATCTTCTGGTTTTGGAGTCTCCTTGACATTCACCTATAGTGAAGCCACAAATCATTCTCACCAATATGCTGCTGAGTGCCCCAGATGTGGATAGTTTCA